CAAGTTTGTACCACAACTTTGGCCCATCAAGAAATACTTAGCTAGCTATAGCTTCTATGATGAAGTCCTCTGGCTTGAGCTAAGGAAACTAGACAGTATTTTGAAGATAAATTTTTGCTTGGGTAAAAAACATATTGATCAAAGCTTCGAGATCAATAAAATACTGAAAATCAGCTTCCTGAATAGTATGCAAAACTTCTAAAAGCACATGTATGTTTACAGAACATATAGATGCTCCACATGTTTGATAGCTTGATGCACCACTTGCTGCTCCATCGACAGCGTAACCCAGCTTTTGCTGATGTTGATGCACTACTTACTGTTGAATGCATTCAATCAGTCATGCTCATAATTGGATATAGATCTTATCTTCTAAAGGGCTATTCATATAGAAGTGGACTCAATATGGTCCCAAATGGTATGAACCCGTTGAGCTGTTTTCGTTCACCAGGATTGTTATGGGCCACCATACATATCCTCGGGTCCACCAAGTCATGGAGGCATCTTGTCTGTTTATGAAACATTAAGGCCGATTTTGTCACCTAAAAATCGTCATACAACGCCCCACCACATGTTCTTGGTTTTGCATCATTTTAGAGTACCACAATTCTCTATCTGAGTCCTTTCAAAGATAATTTCTCTCTCTGGGGCACTGTCCAGTAGAATTTTCAGCATGGCTGGCTTCTGATATTAGCTGAATTTTTGCTCCTCACCAGGTGAGCACCGCGAGCAACAAACGGAAGCTGAGCTCCTGTGCCTCGACGATGGATGGACCAACAACTTCCGGGAACCATGTACCCACTTCAGGACCAGCACTCACCAGGGAGATCTCCTTCGGGGATCAAACGGTCTCCGCCCCCGCAGCTGAGAGGCCTGCCGTGAGGATCGACAGCGAGACGCTCGCACAGAACAGGGACAGCGCGATGCAGCGGTACAGGGAAAAGAAGAAGAACCGCAGGCACGGATAGATAAACTGAACTTGACCCTTACCTGCCTCCTGCTGCTGGCAGCAACTTTGATCTTCCGTAGTATTAAGAACAGACTGTTACAGTTTACTCATCACATGTTTGTCCATCATTCCTGTGTGTAGGTATGAGAAGCACATCCGGTACGAGTCGAGGAAGCTGAGGGCGGACACGAGGAAGCGGGTGAAAGGGCGGTTCGTCAAGTCGACCGAAGCGCTGAACGCCGGTTACGGTGGATGAGCCAGCCATATGGCCTGTGAAGACCGAGTTTGCTGTGTACCTGCGTTACGTGCAATAGCAATGGAGGTGGTAAGGATGCTATCGCGGAATCGATACGCAGTGTTAAGAGAGCCGAGTTTTGCGGTGAAGCAATTGTGGCCATTGGGCAGTCAACTCCAGAGATTGCACGGTATTGCTTGTAAGAGACGAGACCCCCTTTCGCTAGCTGTTGCCATCATCAGAACAGAAATATGTAGCTTACATACAGTACTGATTATGTACCATGCATGTGGTCTTACTAGCTACGATGGAGCGTCTGATGCGTGAGTTTGCAGTGAAGTGTTTTGTTTTGTTATGTCCGGCCGTTTTGTTACCACCACTTGAATCCCTGATTGTGTTAATTAGTCATGTTTTAGTATGTAGGGCACATGTCCATGCTGTCTGTTTGGAGACGAATATGTACACATGCATTGCACTAGTTGTCTAGTTCTAAGTTCTAACAAACATGTATATGTATATTAGTATATACACATATAGTATTATCATCTGTCCGTATAGCTGTTGCATGTGGTGTCGCGAAGAAATTAATCAAGATGAATTACTAATTATCTGGGTGCCGGCGGGGGGTGCCCTGGGGAAGCGGGAGAGGCTGGATGCGACGCCGAGGGCGACGAACGCGACGAACGCGAGCGCGAGGGAGACGGCGCCCCTGTCGCAGTAGAGTCGGTAGAGGCGGCAGACGGCGTACCACCCGCTGGGCTCGTTCCCCCACATGGCTATCGACCCCACCGCTCCGGCGCCGGCCGTCGACGCCGCCTGCAGGTTCACCGTGAACTGCATGCGCAGCCAACAGGCACACACGCTACGTCAGCTAGCGATCGAGACGGAGGAGACGATGATAGTACAGTTCGATTAGATGGCAGCCATGGATGAACAGAAGAATAACAACGTAACCGTATACGTATACGTATGCGTACCTGATCCATGTGGTGCAGCCAGTGCTTGCTGACGAGCTTCTTCACGAAGACCGCCGTGAGCAGCGCGTAGGCGGCGCAGGCGAAGTTGATCGCCACAAACGCCCTGCGATGAACAAGTTTGCAGTTCGTCGCGATGGATAATCGCCGGTCAGTGTCTGCCTACCACAATTGCCATGCATCGATGGCAAGAAGGTAGCAGATCCCAACGATATATAAGCGATGAACTAATAATCTATATACGTACTCCCAGACGGCGAACATCTTGAAGGTGACGGTGATGCCCCAGCGGTCCTGCCGGTTGGTGGCTATGACCACGGCGGCGGCGAGCGACGCTGCGAACGCCAGCAGCCGGAGCGCCACCGTGGTCCTCACGTGCGCGGCGGTGGCGGCCCTCGTCGTCGTCTCCACCACCACCACCTGCGACTCCAGCTCCATCGTCATCGTCATCGCCGTCGCCGTCGCCGTCCGATCAATTAATCCTCTTCTATAGAACCGATCGAACCCCCCGGTCGACGCACGAGTACGTACGTACGTGCGATGATCGCCAACAACAGCAGCTAATGTCGACGCCTGCATACACACGATATATATATATATAATATGCATGAAGTACAACAGATAGACGTGTCTATCTGTCGGAATGCCTTTGAGAACGTTGGACTCTCTCTCTCTCTCTCTCGTACTCGTATGTTCTCCCATCTCCAAGTGACGGTGATGCCACGTAGGATCCTGTATGTAGATTTAAATAAACACAAAGATGATGTTTGAGAATCTTGGGACTGTGTTAGCAAATGTTGCAACTTTTTTCCCTGCAATGCAATTATGCAAATTGCAAATGGATCTGCTATAAGGGCATGCCCGAAGAAATACTGCTGTCGGAGAACAAGATATACGCAGCACGTAACGTAATTTGGTTGCATTGGAGTGTGTCATAGCCCAGCCCAAGTAGCAGTGGGGCCCGGACCAAGCTCTCAGACCATCACCTCTAGGCGGTGCACAACATGGACCTCTCCTGCATTCCTTTCCCAAACAGCGGCTTGCCAGCCCACGAACGACACCAAGCCTTCGAAATCGTCTTGACCCATTGCGTCAAAATGTGCTCCTGTCCTTCGGAGTTGAATTGAACCTTAAATAACGGAGGCAATAGCGTCCAAACATTCGGCGACGACAGCGTGTCCGGACACAGTTATCATTCCCAGCCAATCGAATCGTGGCCCAATTTTCAGTCCCAGACCCACCAATAAAAGCATCCATCTCAGCATCCCATGTATTATAACCAAAAAAAAAAAAGTGAACCAAAGCGTTACCTGCTAGCGTAACGGAAGGGGAGAGCATGCGCTCGCATCCGCGCCGCCATCCCCCGGCGCCCCCTCCACCGGCCCCCACCGCGCCCCCTCCACAGTCTAAGACGGATGCAGCGCAGCAGAAGGTGAGGAGACACTAAGGCAAGGCAGCAGAAGGCGAGGAAGAAGATGCAATACCCGATCTACTTTTGAAACATCCAGATGCATACTTGCAACATACAAAAGAAGACAAATAAAGCACTGAAACGTGTGTTAAAACGCTTGAAAAAAAACACAAACATATGCAACATCCAAATAAACACACTTGCACCATACGTCTGAAAAATAGATGAAACATTGAAAACAGACGCTTGCAACATACTGTACAAACCATTGCAACATATGCAACATTCGATCTACTTTTGCAACATCTGTATAAAACACTTGCAACGTACCTTTAAAACATCTGAAACATATATTTGCAACACGTTTTTTCAGCGCAACATGGCGCGGACGATGCGCCGAATTGACACAATGGAGGCGGCCTCGACAGCAGATGGCGGCACCCGACGCGGTGGAAGCAACCACGACAGCAGTTGGCGGCACCCGCAAGGTGGAGGCGGCCACGGTAGTCGGATGGAGGCACACCGTCACGGTAGAATCAACAGGCAGGCCTACCTGGCGCTGCGGCTCGAAGATAGCGGTGAGGAAACAGGGCCAACGCGGCTGAAGAGCTTGGCGATGAAGACGGTGGCGTGGCCCTACGCCTCGGCACCGTCGATCCACTACAGCGCGCGGGGCGAATCTGACAGGCTAGGGCGTGCGGCCTGGGCAGGAGCGAGCAACGCGTGCGGAGCGAGGCACGCGGGCGGGAGCGAGCGGCGTGTGCGGAGCGAGGCGAGCAGAGCTTTTGCCTGTGTGGATGGTTAGATGCGTCCGATGGGAACAGGACGTCCGAACGCCCTAAACAAAGCATTACCGATCTAATAATGTTCTAATGTTTCAAGCTTCTAGTGAATCGAATCTAATAATGTTCTAATAACATTCGTGCCTTTTAGTTTCACCACTCCAGCATTCATCCAGAGCAGGAGGTTAAGGCCCAAATCCTTTTCTCAACACTTGCATTTCGGTTGCCAAGTGGGAACTATGTGATTGCAGGCCCCAATTCAGAATTGGATCACATAATTTCCGAACACCTAAGCATTTCAGTTGCCAAAATGGAACTCTGTAGTCACAAGCCCGAATTCTCAGTTGGATGACATGACTTCTGATCAGTTCAGCATTTCAGTTTTGCCAAATGACAGCTAGTGTTCAGAAACATGACAACACAGCCCTCGACGGTCTCGAAATCAGGAGGAAAGAACATATAAGCAGAACAATAAGGAGAACTAAATGATGCATTTTATTGGAACATTAACCTGTATATTTTTGCTGGCGAAAAGAGGAAATGACTGGTGACCAAGTTAGTCATGGTAAAATATTTACAGATTCTTTTGTGCGCAGCAGCAGCGCAAGCTATACATGAGATGGGATGGGAGCATAGTAACCATCAGCCATCAGTTGCTTATGTCAAAGTACTTGGGATCAGCGGGCAACTCATGCTCCACACGCAGCTGCAACAAAGATGAAACCTGTCACATTAAATTAAATTCTACCGTAACAGAACAAGAAACAATCAAGGAATAGTCCGATTGCCACGGAGAGGCAATTAGAGCAAGCTTGAATAATCGTTTCGAAATGATTTTAAGGAAGACTAAAAAGATGGTCTAACGTCAACTATAGTAAATAACAGAACATCATATCAATTATCAAGCACATGCATTTTATCCAACGAAAAGTAAACTGACCCGATTTCTGACTGATGATGGAAGGAACAAATGAAAAGGTAAAAACTTCAACAACATCGAAAGTTTTGTGTACCTCGCCTTCATCTGCATCTGAGTGCCTTTGAGGAAATACAACTCTAAGATCATTGTACAGATAGAACCTCCGCTCTTCCTCGGGTAATGTATTGTTGCTATATGGTGCCGATGATGGATCAGATTTGCACCGAAGCATTGATTTCGAGGATTTCTTGGAGGGGCACAGAAATCGCAGGTGCAAAGCGTAGCGAAGTGCAGCTCCACCTGAACTATCATTGATCTTAGAAGGTGAGCAGCATGATTTCTTCTCTCCTATGCCAGACTTATTCATTTGACAGCAGCAACCATCAGAATCAGAATGGTCTTTCTTATTTCCAGGAGAACTAGACTTATTTGATTCATTAGAATCACTATCCAATGATCGACATCTTGCTTTCGGATCTCCTTTTTCTAATTCGTCATTTGAGTTGCAGTTCTGTCCACCACCGCAGCCTACAAAGACAAACAGAAAAATTAGCACCGACTCAAAGTCAACAGTTTGGATTCAACCATTATTTGGTATCAGGCCATCAGCTGATTACATTCAGAACATAGAGTTCCGCGTTCACTAGGTTCACTTCACATGAAACTGACTGAGAAGATTTGGGGCCAACATTAACGCCATGCAAGTCTTGCTTCCTTCTTCCACTGGATTAGAGGGTAAGACAGAGGGGGAGAGTGTGACCTTTTGCCGCATGAAAGTCTGTCTCGTTACACAATAAGAGAAACAAGATGAGAACGGATGATAGAAAGCAAAAGCAAAAACTAGTCATTGAGATTTATAAAGCAGCAGTAAAAAAATCTAGCATTTGATCCCTCTGAGAAGGTAAAAGCATGTCCATTCCAGGCCTCAAACTCTCAAATACTTTCAGGTACACATTAAACAATAGACTACATGCACTGCCAATTTCCAAATTGGCTTGTTTTTCCAGTACTTAGTTGAGGGAAAATCACTTGGCAGATCTAATATAGTGTAATACTTTGCAACATATACTGATCTCTTATACACATGATAAACACCAGACTAAAGCCCATACAAAATGGCTTGAGGCTAGCAAACAACCCATTAAATGAAATTTGCTCAGTCATTAAAAAAGGATGCACATACATATTTCATATATGGGTCAACAGGAAATTAGGTAAACAGGTGATCATGCGGTAAACATTCAGTCCTTTTTAGTATGCAATGAAAAATATTAGTCCAAGGTCATAAAACATAATGGAAAATATTAGTAATTCTTGTACCTTGGTTCCAGAAGGCATGTCACTCAAGTCATAGTTGCAGAAGAAAGTATGAAGTGGAGTCTTCTCTGGGTTGCTCACCACCTATCAAAGTCATATACTTTTTTTATTTCAATTGTACAGAGACACAGAATACAACTCCCAAATGTGCGCAGATGCAGATGTGTAAATCAGATCCTGTAAATCTTTGCCTTTATTGAGTGCTATGAGGAATTCCCCCACAACAAACAACAACAAAGAATCTTTTGTCCTAGTTGCCTAGAGATCCCAGCAGTAAGCAGATCTACGTAACAGATCATATGTTCATGAACCAAATTATTCGAAGTAAAGTAGCAAAGAATGGAAGGGGTGAAATTAAAATGTCATTTGTGTAATGCAGTAAGGTACAAAGAAAACTAAATGAAGCTTTTGAGAAATTGCCTAATGCCTATAGACATAACACTGAGGGGAGGATATTTATTCAAAAAGAAAAGAAAAGAAATGCTCAGTAATATGCAAGAACTCAGCACTCTTGTCTGTATAAATTTCATGCAGCAAGGGAGGCTTTAATTGTGCTTTATCTCAGCTGTTAACAATTCTATCAATGCAAATGCAGACAACTCCATCGTCAAGGAATTTCTGATGTCAACAGGCCTTGTCAATCCAGGTAGCTTGTATAGATATTTGATTATGAACGAGTTCAAATAGAGGAAAAAAGCATAAACCAGTGCACGATAAAGAACAATGATTTCACCAAAATTGAATTGGTCAAAGGTCAGAACGATATTAATGTTAGGGATCTGAAACAGTTTAGTACCAGTTGTATGCGACCCTTAACAGGGATGCGTAAACGACTCTTTGCTGATCGCGAATCATTATTACTGTAGCTTCTTTGGAGCTTCGGGCTTTTGCTGTTATTCGAAGGAAACCTCCCGGCAAGATCAATAGAAGAATAGTACAATAAGGAGCTATCCTCATCGATGCTTGTTACTGAGAATGGAAGTCTCTGAGTTGTGGGGAAGAAACTACCACCAGTGACATTTAGAACAGCTAAGAAACCATCAATTGTCTGCATTCAGAGGGGAAATGGAATCAAATTCTCAACAATCAAGGGCCCTGTACATTTAGTAAGTAGACAAGAAATTAGAGACCTGACTGTCTTTTCCATACGAGTATCGACCAGATAAAAGGGACTCCTCAAAGGAGCCAACGAGTGACCTCCTTACATGCAAAGACAAACTCCGACCATAACCAATTCGAGGAGATGTAGGTCGGGGAGATGTAGGGGAAGATTCAGGGCCCCAATTTCTATATCTTCTCAATGAACTCCATTTAGGTGTCATGACTTCAAGTTCATCATGTAACAAGTTAGTTCCTTCTGATACCTCCTGCATCCTAGCTCTGTCAGAACCTCCAGTTTCCTTTAAATCTAGGAAGTCATTCTCAAGATCTTTCATTATAGATCTTTGAGATCCTGTCACCTTAATTTTGTTCATATATTTAGGGCTGAGAGGAGACAGAGAAAGCGGAGAGTGTGCACTAGCTGCTAGATGATCATAACAGGATACAGAATCCTTGCTCCCAAGTAAAGGACCATCAGTGAATGAATTAGAATTGCTCCTAGTAACATCCCATTCTGGGCTCCAGCTGGAGCACCTAGAGGTTGGAGTATCCCGTGTTTCAAAAGAATTGAGGCATCCTGTGTTGGCTTTTTTATTATCTTGGGAGCCAGTACTGTATAGTTTATCGGCTGAATCAGAACGCCTAAATCTAGAATCACCAGAAGAAAGATTGAGCACATCACCATTGAACTGTTTAGGGAGCACATTTTTCAATGGAGAGAGCAGTCTTTTCCTTGCCTGGAGTTCATGCTGATCAAATGGCGAATTGCAATTACTGTTGACCAAAGATGAATCGACCATATTCGTTTCTGTTCCATCAGAACCTCCACAACCAGAATCAAAGCCCACAACCCTTCTTGCCGGCATGTGGACAGAAGGCACCAATTTAGGAAAAGATCTAGAATTTCCATCCCTTGAATCAATATTTAGTCCACGGAGGTCTGCATGTTCAAATTCATGATTGTCTTTAGAATACCCATTTGATTCATTCGGACCATCTAATGTGGTCTTTCTATTAAAATCACCTATCAATGGGTACGAAAGCACCCTGCTGCTAGAGCTTCCCGCTGGAAGCCCATCCAAATCGCAGGCACTAACTCCTCCAAAATCTGGAGGACAAGAAGTAGACGTACGCAATGCTGTTGGCGCATCATCCTTGACTGTCGAAGGTTGGGGTAAACCCATCGCAACCTAGTTTGGATTAGCACCTAAAATGTAGTTATTCAAGTCCTTTTCGTGTCCTTCAGAATCCGTATTTCAGTCCCCCAGAATACCAACTGATGTCCAAGAATCATCTACTGAACTCAATCAATATAGGAAGGGTAGAACTACACTCCGGACGCCTCTGAAGAAAGCATATCATCATTTTTGTGCTGCTACTGCGGCAACTGGAGATGAAGCACAACTTGGACCCTGAGCAAGCAACAAGGAACCTGGGATCAACCATGCCCATCACAGTCCTGCAGAAAGCAAATTGAAGAGCATTACATACTTCACCATACAGCTGAGCTCATTAATGACATGAGCTAGTATTACTTCATTCAGTTCATAAAAGGAAACTGTCAGCTTATGGAACTTCTACTTGCTCAGAAATAGTAAGTGAACAGCCAACTACGGTTGTATCAATATCCACTAAACAATAGTAGATCATGAAATACACTACTACACATAAATCAAGACAGTAGAGGTTCACCATGTGAACACTCCCGAAACAAACAAAACTGAAGATGAACCAAAAATCACATTCGGACTGGTGAACCCCAGTTCGATTAAAGGAGGGACTTCACAGCAGCTATAAGCGCAAGAAAGGAGGAAGCACAGATTTTGGGCGAACACAATAACAGCTTTGTTATCGATCGGGGCAATCAAACCAAGTTACCACAAAGCCACAAATAACTGAACAGAGCCCAACACGACAAGAGAAATTGCAGAAATCCAAACCAAAATTACTTGGATATAAATCAAGACGCCACACGCCAGCCTACCTGACAGACCAAACAGAGAAATCAACCGCATGGCCGCCGAACGGAATCGGGTCTCTCCTTCAGCGATGGGACTGCTTCGATCCGATCGCTAGAAAAAATCGGCCAGGAACTCGGGTGCAATCCGGCCGATTGATTCCTCCTGGGGTTCTTGGCTTCCCTCAGTTTATCCCCTCCCTTCCTAATCTTTTCCTCTCTCCCCCCTTCCCCTCCTTGCGTTCTTGGCTGCTCCACCTCCCTATCTTCTCAAATGGTGGCTATATAATTGTGCAACAAGACACGGGTCGTTAATTGAGGCGCTAATAAGAGATTCCTACGGTGGGAAACGCTGGATTAGTAGCGCTGGTAGCATCTGGTATTTTCCAATCCGGCGGAAGGCTGTTTCGGTTTGGCTTGTGTTTTTAGTTGGTATTCTGTTGTTCGACGCGACGACGCCCACGGATAAAAATGTTTCCCGAGGACTCACATCTTGCATTTTGGTCCCTGAGGTCCTCCGATTTGGAAAAAACAGGTGTTCCCTCGCTTTTCTGAGTTTTTTCTATGTCCTTCCCAAAGAAAAAGAGTTTTTTCTATGTCATTGTTGTTTTTCTATAGTTTTGTTATATACCTAGATGTAGTAAAAATATGTATTTGGAAAAGTCAAAAACAATTTATAATTTGAAATGATAGAGTAGATGTTAACCCAAGATCTGTTTTGAGGAGAAAGGGAAAAGCAATCACTTACCATTGCGGGAGCTTGTCGTCGTGCTCATCTCTGCTGAATCTAATGACCCACAGGAGGAGGGAAGCTCCAGGGCGGTGATAGATTCTGCAATAGAGGAGGGCGTAGCTCGTAGCCACGCCCACAAAGGGAGGGTGTGGTGTTCGCCAAGGAAATTGACACACCAAGCGTAACAGATCTTTGGTTCATGGAACAGATGATGGTCTCACAAAGTGTCGCTAGCTAAAGGAGCACTCAAGTGGTGGAGGAACTTCGTGCAGAGATCTTTGGTGATGGATGGGAGCTCAGGCGATGGAGGGGTGTTTGGAGCCGTCGTGTCGGTGCAAAGGAACTCCTAGTCCTAGAGTTCCGAGCTTGGCTCAGGGTGAGCAAACATGTGGAGAGGAACCTCCTTCCTTTTTGCTTCCGGCTTTAACACATTTTGCGTTGTATTTATGTAAGTGCTTGATAAGCTTCTAGTTTGGATACCCTGTTACTTGATTTAATTAAAAGCGGCTCGACAAGCCGATCCAAACGTGCTACGGCAGGCAACCAAAGACCATGGGCCTATTCGGTGGAAGCGTGCAGCCAATGTGGCTGCGGCTACACTATGTGGCATTTTTGCTAGTACTGCTGATAGCCACAGCCACAGACGCAAAAAACTAAAGTGAACATGATCTATCTTGTTATTATCCAACTATTGTTTGTATTAACCATATCTATAGGCCAAAGGTTTGTTATGCAAGCAACGTTTTTGTGATTCTAAAGTCAAAACAAATCTTGCTCACATTATGAAGAGATATCACGTGCTTCATTAAATCAACACCCAAATTTTATAAAAGGAATAGAGTATAGAATGAATTGTTATTGTGGCAGCCGTGCAAGCAAACTCCAGGAACAATGCCTCGTTTTCTAACGTAGTATCCTTTTTCGCCACAGCCAAGGAAAAAAAGAGAGATCGAATATATTCTGATATAATGAAGGCCTAACGCTAACTTTTAAATTCATGCCGTTAAAAAAATATACTCCCTCCGTCTAAGAAAAAAAAAGCAATTCTACCACAGCGTCATGATTAAGTATTAAGTTTGATCAATTATAGATAAAAATATATGAATATTTATAATATCAAATAAATATTATTAGATTAGTTATGAAATATATTTTTATAATAAATTATGTAAATAATATTTACTGAAAATTTGGTAAACTACTTTTGCCGGCAGACAATCCTAGTTGCATTCTTTTTTGATCGGGGCAAGTATATCACTACACGAATTTGTATGCTCTTTCTTGTGAAGTGATCGTGGCTTCTCTTTCTTGCGAAGTTGCGAGTATGAGCAGCATGCACAAAAGAAAAACACCAGTTTTCAGAGGTCTTATCTGTGAAAGCAACGTGAGAAAAAAAAAGAAATGAAGCGCGTGGGGACCACAGCAGGTGCGGCTCGGATCCGTACTTTCTCCTTTTTATCAATCTAACACTGTCTCCGATAACTAGCATCAAACCTAAAATGAGCAGCAGGAGATTCAAAATTAGCTTCTTATAAAGTATTTATACGGAAGATCTATTTTAGGTTGTTTGAAAGGCACAATCCAAATATGAGTATCATCTCTCCTAAAAATCTATTTGCATAAAGATTCTCTTTCGCATTCTATTGTTGAAAAAAATGTCGAATGAGTATTAAACCTTTTACCTATAATTCTACCTAAACATTGAATAAGTCTTATATTTTAGGTGTTGTTGTCGAAAATAATCTACATGACGATAATAATTGCGACCTGTGCTCGCTTGAGCTTTCCTCCATTTTTGTTCGTTCCATCCCCTCGCTCCTTACCCATCATGACCTGCACTTCTCTTTGTTTTTATCTTTCTCGAACTGCGAGCTGCAATGTCTACAGTTGTTCTTTCTTTGAAATTCTGAGCTAGTACTCTCGGTTTTTTAAGAAGAGTTCGACTTTCAATTTTTAAAATGTGGAATGATATAGAGGAAAATACTAATGTTTATGACATTGAATATGTTTATGACATTGATATAGAGGAAAATACTAAAGTTGTCTCAGCATTAAGTATTTCTACACTTGTTATGGGATATATTTTCATACCAAACATATCTGTAGGACTGTAGATATAAATCTTAATGCTGATGCTTATTGCCGAGGCCCTGTTCGCTTGTACTACTTCAGCAGTACTTTTTAGCGAATGAACAAAAATTTTTCCTCACGGTAAATCAGCATAAGTATTAGCAATAAGCCAAATTTCTCGCATTTATTTTAGGATTTCATAACATTGTTTTTTGAGTGGCAGGCGACGTGCTTGTCAATAGCGTGACGTGTCACGTTGCGGTGACTTTATCAATCTCCTCCCGACTGTCTTTTAGATATACTCATAAAGAGCAGGGCGTTCATAGGGGGTATTTATATCAAACTCACCATCCATACTTATACGAGTTATGTCGAGCAATGACACGGATTCTTTGAGTCATTGTAACCTATGATTACGTTGGTACAGTAGTATGTTTTAAATAACCCAGTACTACCTCTGTTTTTAATAAAAAAAATGGTATCTGCTTCGGGAATCGTCTCTGTTTCTGCACCACTAGAACCGCATGTCCCTTCCTAACGTTTTGTTTGATTTGACCGGTGGCATAGGACCGTCCACTGTTTGGGCCGGTTCATTTAAACTTATCAGCTAGAAATCACTTATCAACTAAAATTTATAGTATTTTTCTCTTACAACAAAACAGCTTTAGCTAGCTCATCAGTCGACTTTAATATCAGCCAAACAGACCCAATTGCAAGTAGCGGCCAAAAACCAAAAGGATGGACGGAGGCATCAATCTATCCACCATTGCCCAGGGGCTGCCGCCTGATCTACAACGCCATCCGCCCGTCCGGCTGTGGTTAAAGGCAAGCGGCATCCCTCTCGCGTACTCCGCGCGTGAGACGTGACCAAGTTGGTGTATCTTTCCAAGGCGAGGAATTGATCCATCCATGGGTCGGTCATGGGGGGAGATCGACCTCGACCAGACCAGCCCCACAGCCCGCAACTTGCTCTTGCTCTCCTCTCTCTCTCTCTGGGTCTGGGATAGGAGTATACCACACCACACCCACACCTGTGCATCGTAGATAGAATCTCCCGCCTGACCATACATGTCGCCTGAAGCGTCTTCAAGTGAGGAGTGAGTGTACGTGCCGAACGCGTCACTCTCGGACACCGCAAGGATTTGCCCGAACCATGCTTGCTTCCACTCTCGGATAACATCTCCCAGAGTTTGGCTGGCTGGCAGGACCATGGATAGACAGAGGAGTTTCGAGCACTAGCATGGAAGAGACGTGGTTATCAAGAAAGGCGCAACCAGAATAACTATTTTTGGACCTCTTGAGAGTTCCCCTTCCGAATACCACATGTTTATTGACACCACCTCGCCTCATGTAAAATCTTATCTCCATAGGCTGCAGTCATGCGCAGCCATCCGGCTGCGGCGGCGAAGACAACGGAACTGGAT